ATTCTTTTTTATCTTGGGTTTAATTATGTATGGTTATTTCAAGATGCTAGCTCATTCTGTATATATGCTAGTTTATAGAAGATTGAATTTTGCCTTTTGGATTGAAAATTAAATTATAACAGTAGTGTTTGTCTGTTAACAAAGTTACGTACTTGAACAGTACAGTGAAATTTTGAAATTGGTCGTTAACATAATAATCCGAGTGACAATCATTACGTAGATACTGTAAAATGTATGTTATTGAAGGCGAAATCATTATGTTCTAGTTTGTCCAGCTTATAGAACTGTGAGACACAACTTTTTATTATTATCATTCTTGGCCTAATAATCATACATTTGTGTATGTACTTCAATGTAACTTATGTATAAAAAACACATGAAATATGAGATCTCATACAGATCCCTCACTTTACATTTGACATATAATTTTATTATTATTCTCTAGTGTCTATACATGCGTATTATGTTTATGTCCTTAGCATGTTAATGCTTTTGCAATGAAGATTCATTCATTACTAGCCTGTCAAATACTTGGCCATAGATAGTTTTATAGTAAATACAGTCATTGGAGAGGCTTCATAAAACTATTTATGTCCCAGACTTAAGACAGGCTAGTGTTAACAGATTGATTTATAAAGATAATTAGTATTTTTGATTTATTGAAGATGAAAAAACACAAACACACACGAGTAATGTGGTAAAGTATGCAAGGGTAAGGTAGTAACACGTTAGTTGTCGTGTAGGTATGCCAGGCAAGGTAAGAAATGTACGTTGTCGTGTAAGTATGCCAGGTAAGGTATAAAACGTTATTTGTCATGCAAGTATGCCAGGGCAAGTTATAAAACGTAAGTTGTCGTGTAAGTATGCCAGGGCAAGGCATAAAATGTTAGTTGTCGTGTAAGAATGCCAGGACAAGGTATAAAACGTTAGTTGTCGTGTAAGTATGACAGGACAAGGTATAAAACGTTAGTGTCGTTTCAGTATGCCAGGGCAAGGTATCAAGCGCTATTTGTCGTGTCAGTATGTCAGGACAAAACATTAAACGTTAATTGTAGTGTAGGTATTCAGGAGTAAGGTATAAAACGTTAATTGTCGTGTTAGTATGCCAGGGCAAGGTATAAATTGCTAATTGTCGTTAACGTAATCAAGGACAAGGTATTACGCGCTAGTTGTCGCGTTAGTATGCCAGGGCAAGGAATAAACGCTAGTTGTCGTGTAAGTATGCCAGGACAAGGTATAAAACGTTAATTGTCGTGTAAGAATGCCAAGTCAATGTATAAAACGTGTTGTCTTATAAGTATGCCAGGGTAAGGTATAAAACATCAGTTGTCGTGTAAGTATGTCAGGGCAAGGTATACAACGTTCGTTGTCGTGTAAGTATGGCAGGACAAGGCATTAAACGTTAGTTGTCGTATAAGTATGGCAGAGCAAGGTACAAAACGTTAGTTGTCGTTTAAGTTAGCTGGGGTGTCTTCCTCCACCTTAGATTTTGAAATAGCAGATAACAATCGTTCTAGATCTTTAATGAAATGTGCAAATTTCGAGAGTAGTATGTAATTTATGTGTAAAACTTTTCATGTTGATATAGAAAAGTATGTGTTTTATCATATTTACGGCTGCATTTTTACCAAAAACAGAATATTTTTGTTTGATTCACTTTTTTTCACTTTTGCCATATAAGGGGAGATAACTCAGATAAAGTAACTTTTATAATAGGATGTGTTGTGAATTTACCTATATTTTTATGTAGCATGAAAACGAGTCCGGTGACCCCATTTTTTCTTTTTCTAATCTGAAAGCATATTATTAGAGCTATCTTCTCATATTTTATCTTAAAATTATATGGTGTAGTTTTCTTTTTATCACACAAAATTGGGTTTTCCATGCATAATCTATACAAAATCTGACAATTTTGCACAACCTGTAGCGTGAAAAAAAGGCCCGGTGATCTATACATTTTATTATATTTTTGAAAAAAGCATGATATAAACTACATTTTGACAAAATATTAAAAAAATTCTTTGGATTTTAATTTAGACCCTCCATCAACCTTAAGTATGACAGAGCAAGGTATACAACGTTTTTTGTCGTATAAGTATGCCAGGACAAGGCATAAAACGTTAGTTATTGTATAAGTACGCAGATTAAGGTGTAAAATGTAAGTTGCCGTGTAAGAATGCCAGGGCAAGGTATAAAACGTTAGTTGTCGTGTAAGTATGCCAGAGCAAGGTATAAAACGCAAATTGTTGTGGAAGTATATGTTGGAAGTGAAATGTCAACATTTATATCTTTTATCAAGCAGTTGATATAATGTACTTTACAAAATAAAACGATATTGTTTGGGGCTATGTCTACAGGGATAACGGCATATTTGTCATGGAGGTAGGATAAGTGCTTACCAACATTTGGGACTCTTTGCAGACCCATTTTTCTTGATTTGTAGCAATGACCTCATATAGCTGTAACAAAAAAAAATCATTGCATACCAAAACTGGGATGTATTATTAAGTTTTTATCATTTGTATACCATGTCATAGCCAAGGAGTGATAAAGGGTTGTCAGTTCCTTACAACATATTTATGGGAATCGTTCCCCTGACACACTGGAACACGAAAACTTCAAAAGTTTAAATAGATGGTTCTTCACATAGACATAAGTGTTCATGTATAGCTTCGTTTTGTTACTGTGCGTCTCTTTCAGTAATGCTTTTGTACATTTATTTAAAATTATTGTGTAACACATTGATTCATGTACCTTACATGGCTAATTTGACCAGTTAAAATCTTGTGTTACTATATGAAAAGTAAAGCAAACAAAATGTGTATTTTTAATTTTGGGAAGTGATCAAAACATCTGATATTTTTTTTATATCCACGAAAACAAGAATTCAGGGAAAAAAATACACCTTTTAAAATGTCATTATAAAGGAATCCACTCGATCTACCTTATTACACATATTTTTTACCGTTTGGTCTGGTCATGGTAAAAACTGGCATTGAAACTTCAAAATGATATTTTTCTGTTACATTCACATTTTCTTTGAAACATTCATGTACAAAAAAATGTACATGAGTATTCGTATTGCATTTTTATAACAGAACCATAGAAAACAGTATACCTAATCTCAGAAAAGGTTATCAGAAAATGCCCCAAAAAGAAATTTCAATTTTTCGGTCGAGTGTTTGGACTGGATTTTTTACTCCAGAACCACAACTAAAATATCAAAGTTACATTAAGGATGTACCAATGAACTGTGACAGGATTAAAGATTTTGAAATAACTAAATAGTTTATACAGTATTCTGAAAAAAAAAAAAACATACATAGTAATACTTTGGTTCTCATGCTGAAGAATTGGAAACAATATCATAATTGAATTGTTCCCATGTTACTTATGCACAAAAGTATTTAAATCAGTAAATATAATTAATTAATAGTGATATATGTAAAATAAATACCTTACAATGACATCTCCCGAAATTCATGTAAAAATACTTACATCAAGTGATTCTAGCAATATTTACAAGCATGACACCTGAGACATGACAGTCACCACCTTTCGTACTGGTATGGAAACGAATAAGTTGCTCACTTTCATCTTTTTTGCTCTCAAAGATTCTTGAACGTCTTCTCTATGTTTATTACATATATATATTTCTGTGTGAATTCGGACGGAATACCTCACGATTCTGACAGAAAACATAGTTTTTCATTATGATCAAACAATGTTATAACTAATAATACTGAACTCCAAGTTGAATTGAAAAAGGGGAGAAATACACAAATACTTACAAGACCAAACACTCGACTATATCAACAAATAGAACAACTGGAACATATCTTAACAATGTGTCGCAGGAAAAATTGGACACCAAATCTAATCGCAAAACTGGATGAGGTAAGTCACCAAACCACCAAGACTAAATTGTAAATGGAGTGGTAGAAATCATGGGCCATTTTCTGCATTAAAATGTGTCATCTAAACATATAAACTTTATTAAGTATTTGTAGCGACTTTCATTATCTGCCCTTCCTGATATGTATGTATAACGATGACTAACTTCAAAAAGTGCTTTATTAGACTTAAATATGGTTAGTATTGCCGCGCTTTGAGTTCATGCATAGCTCATGTCATTAGAATATAAATATTTGTCATTAGAATATTGATATAGAATTGCATTCATTTTCTGTAGTACTGATTTGATTGATTTAAATAGTAAAGACAAAATTTAAATATTCAGTACGTATAGTCAAATATAGCGTACACACTACAGTTTGTTTCTGATTACACAGCGCAATAATTGCCGTCAATCATCAAGTGAAACATGAATATGAAATATGAAAATGACATGAATGTGAAACATATAACACCGTAAACACAAATAAGATAAAACGCTAAATAAATGTTGCAAACTATATTGAATACATACATCCGGTGACAAATGTCTTTCATAATATAAAACTTTCACATTTTCACCCGTTTTATTCTTCGTAAATTTATGAATAGACCACACGTTGAAGTTCAGTTCTGTGAAAAGCTTTAACAAACATCAACAAGGGCAAATTAGCATGGAAGAATATATCAAAATTAAATTTTCCCTCCTTTCATTCGTGTTGCTCAGTCTTTGGTTTTCTATGCTCTGTTTGTCTTTTTCTTTTTTCAGCCATGGCGTTGTCATTTTATTTTCGACTTATGAGTTTGAATGCCCCTTCGGTATCCTTCACCTCTTTTTTCGTAGTTTTTTTTTCTTGTTTATACTTAATGATGTTTTCAATTGAGAGTTTTATACGGAGACGTAATTGAAAAAAATACGATTCCAGTTTTTACTTTTGCGACAACTGTCTCGTACAAATTTTCGCAATGATAAAAACAGCGCAAACATTTCTGTATTTGCAAATTGTACGTCTAAATTTGTGCATCTTTATTTCTTCAATTTTTCAAACAATTGTAGCTAACAAGCTTTTATCTATAACAAAATCTAGATAATATCTACTGCAATTTTTACATAACTATTCGAAAAGCTTATTCAGAAATCCTGTCTTGTTATGCATTTTTAGTCTTTTATTAAGCCAAGCAAAAATGATTTATAGGAAAGGTCTTCATCTTTTTACGTCATAAATGATAGATCGTTTAGTACCTCAAAAAAGGTTGATAAGTTGCTGTTTAAGAACTTGAATAATCACAGCAGAGAAATATAACATTTTTTTTCATTGTGAATTTGCTTGATTAAATTTAAATTTCAAGATGATACGATACATGCCTGTAGTGGAATTGCATGAATTTCCTCCGGGTGATTAATGTAGTTTTCAAAACATATATAATTGATGATTTATCTCAAAGAAAATTATAACTTGTAGGTGAAAATATTTCTACAAGTCATCCGCTGAAGCAAGGATCTTATTTATTTTACCTGGAAGATGGCATCTATATCCTGTATAATCATTACGACATCCATCTTTAGTACAGTTACCAGAAAATGGTTCACAATCTCCATCCAAACATCCAGTACACTTGTTTGCGCATTTATACCCAAAATGTCCAAGGGAACATGCTATGATTATCAAAGAGAACAAAAAAAAAACAATTTCACTACCAAATCATTTATAAACACAATCAATTTTAACGCTTTCAGACCTATATTGATGTATATGAATTTTATAAAAGAACAATTCACCTAGTTTTTCCTTCTATTTTCTGTTAACAAATAGATAACGTGTATATAATAACACGAAAAAGCCAACACAGGCAACACTTAAGTATCCCAATTGTGAAAATTCCATTTCTATGTAGCAACATTCCAGCAGCGCCTCCATATGGAATATATATCGCCAAGATAAGATATTACTCGGGCTTGCTTTGCTATCATGAGTTCCTTGATAGAGAGTTGCTGCTCAAAAGGAAGCGTCTAAACCAGGAGTCCCAAGTAATGAAGTTAAAATCATTCCTTTGAAAAATTCACGGACGCCATCACGAGTTGGTTGACCGTTATGGAATATCTGTTCCAATCGTCAAACCCACAATCCTCCTTTTCCCCGAATGTGATCTACCGAATTAGACTTATCCCCGTGTGTGTACTTACATTAGCATTACGACGGGTAGCACGGAACACCTGAGATCACTCCCGGTTTTGTTGGGGTTTGTGCTGCTCAGTCTTTAGTTGTCTATGTTTTGTATACTGTTGGTCTTTTGGATATTTTTCCTTTTTGGCCATGATGTTGTCAGTATATTTTCGACTTGCGAGTTTCAATGTCCCTTTGGTATCTTTCGCCTCTCTTTTAAATGTACATTATACTGTTTAAGCGATATTAGAACATTCATTGTGCTTAAAGCATGACACGACTAACATATGTTTTTTTCTAAAATCTCATCTGCCTTTTTCCTACCAAATATCAGGTGATATCTACTATACCATTATTTAGATTTAGTTTTCCTGTACAGTTTTTTGTTTGTTCGATTATAACAATTAGAAGATATGGTATAATTCCAAATGAGACAACTATCCACCAGAGACCAAATGACGTAGAAGTATACAATTCTACGTCATCGCACGACTTTCAACAGTGTTCAAAATTCATACCATACTGTAAGCTATGAAAGGCTCCGACATGAAAACATTGAAAACAATTGAAACATAATTTTTTTTATGTACATTTTGTTAGTCCACTTATCCAGGTTAAACGGAGGTGGTATGATCTTAAAAACAATTGTAACCAGCTAAACAAGCATGTGCCTGTTCCAAGTCAGGAATCTGTGCTAATCATACTGTGTCTCATTTTTTATTTGGAGAATTTGATCATTGATAGCTTTTAACAGTATGTTGATAATTTTCACAAGTATTTCACAAGTATTTGTTGGCTCGTATTGACCTAGAACTTGACATGTATGTAGCCCTCTAGATACTTTATGGTCATTTGTGGTGTTGAATTCCTGTCATTCGAAATGTAGAAATGTATTTATTAATGTTATATTTCAAGAGATGTCATCTAATTGTCGAAAATAATACAAATATAAAACACAAATTGATCAAAGAATTCAAGAACTTTAGAACAATTAAGTTGCTATGGTCCCGTGGTTGTCATTGTGAGTTTTCAAGCAAAACAATGTATACGAGAATTCATGTTGTAAATGTTTAGGAAAACACATACATGAATCTATTATTTTCTTGCATAGCCGTTTCGTTGGTCTCATGCATAGTGACATGCTTGCCTTGAGTGCAAAAAGTCATTGGTTTGATTCTTGGCCGTGTCAAAACAAAGAGTTCAGAATTAGGTTTTTAACACTTTCCAGTTTAGAACTTGGAAAATTTGAGAAAGTCAAAGGTTCAAGTAAAGTTTTCTAGTTATATGGTTGCTATTTTCAGGGTGATTTCTTTTTTTAAGCTAAACATTTAAACAGGTAACGACGCTTTAAATCCATCAATTGGAAATACAACTTCAAGATACTGATGGATTCAGTCGAGGATTATGCCAGGCAATGGGCTTAACGCGAGAAAGAAGACGTAGATACTCTTTCCGAATGAATTAAGGCTGTGAGGTCGTTTATACAAATCCGAATTAAGAAACTAAATGGGTCTATCAATACCCACGCTACATCAATTTTTAAAGACCCAAATATTGCAAAAAACTTGTCCTACCTCCATAACAAATATGTTGTTGTTCCCGCAGATAAAGCCCCAAACAACATCGTTTTTGTGTGTAAATATCATTACATAAACTGCTTGATAAATGAATTAGGTATTGACAATTCTTTTGGAAACTCAACATATACCCTCACGACACTTACCAAAGAGGAAATCCTGGATAATCATAGGTCTGTTCTATGTTCCTTTGGAATTTCAACCAAATATGAAGAACTGGATCTTCCATCACTGTATTGGATACCTAAACTACATAAGTGTCCTTACAAACAACGGTATATTGCTGGGTCTTCCAAGTGCTCCACGAAACCTCTTTCTAAATTATTAACATCTATTTTATCAGCAATCAAACCCGGACTCCAAAGTTATTGTGAAACTGCCTATTCTAGAGGTGGCGTGAATCAGATGTGGATACTAAAAAATTCCAAAGATCTTTTAGAGTACATACAATCTAAGACTCTCTCATCTTGCAATAATATTAAAACATTTGACTTTTCTACACTTTACACAAGTATTCCCCATTCCAAACTAAAAGACAAATTGAAAGAGTTGGTATTACTTTGTTTCATTAAAAAGAATGGCGAACGTAGTTACAAGTATCTTGTCTTGGGGAGGGATAAATCCTACTTTGTAAAGAATCACTCTAATTCAAACAAAAAATTCTCTGAAACTGACATTATCAAGATGCTTGATTTTTTGATTGACAACATATTTGTTACGTTTGCAGGACGTGTTTTTCAACAGAGTGTCGGAATTTCAATGGGAACCAATTGTGCCCCTCTTCTTGCCGACTTGTTTCTTTACTATTATGAGGCTGCCTTCAAAGAGGAACTTCTTAGGAAGAAAGATAAGAAGTTAGCAATATCCTTTAACTTTACGTTCCGCTATTTAGATGATGTTCTCTCACTAAATAAAACAAAATTTGGTGACTATGTTGAACGAATCTATCCCATCGAACTAGAGATAAAGGATACTACAGATACAGTTAAGTCTGTCTCATATCTTTACTTACATCTAGAAACTGACAATGAGGGTCGGTTGAAAACAAAACTTTACGACAAAAGAGATGATTTCAGCTTCCCAATTGTGAACTTTCCATTTCTATGTAGCAACATTCCAGCAGCGCCTGCATACGGAGTATATATCTCCCAATTGATACGATATTCCTGGGCTTGTATTTCCTATCATGATTTCCTTGATAGAGGATTGCTGCTCACAAGGAAGCTATTAAACGAAGAGTTCCAAATGGTGAAGTTGAAATCATCCCTTCGTAAATTTTACGGACGCCATCACGAGTTGGTTGACCGTTATGGAATAACCGTTTCACAGATGATATCGGATATGTTCCTTATGTCGTTACTACAATACCTTTCCCTTTTCACGAATGTGACCTACCGAATTAGACTATTTACCGAATTTATAATAACATAAGCAACACGACGGGTGCCACATGTGGAGCAGGATCTGCTTATTCTTCCGGAGCACCTGAGATCACCCCCAGTTTTTAGTGGTGTTCGTGTTGCTTAGTCTTTAGTTTTCTATGTTGTGTCATCTGTACTATTATTTGTCTGTTCGTTTTTATATTTTTGGCTATGGCGTTGTCAGTTTGTTTTCGATCTATGAGTTTGACTGTCCCTCTGGGATCTTTCGTCCCTCTTTTGAAAGGTACTGGCATTTTAAGATTTTGTATTTCCATGCCGAGTTTGAGATGTCCCGTTATAATGTTTAGTGTATTTTAATACTTTAATGAGTTATTGTTTTGTATGTAGCAGTCCTTTGTGGACAAATTTGACATTTTATTGGTCTGATTTTCCCTTCTTTCAGTAGACAACTTATTGTACATGTTTAAGCATGTAAGGACCAGCAGTTATGCATAAGTTTTGAACTTTTCTACTTGATGTCAACACCCTGACAATATCAAGGTTACGTTGAACAAACACATGAAGTACCCATCGAACCATGAGCACATGAATCTAAATCACAAAGACCATAAACATTATTACATAATACTCCATTCACGTAGTGGCATGTTTGCCGGCAATTGTATCCACATAAAGGTGATTTACAAGTTGAAAGGAAAAAATGGTATCAAATATGGATTAAATTGTTAAATAATTTAAATTTCAAATTTTCAGATAAGAAAAATGCTATCTTTATATACAGTTACATTGATTGATATATATTTGTTAAATGTCAAGCGACAGATATTATATAGAATAAAGACTTTTTAACCAACCAACCCCAACCCCCCCCCCCCCCCCCCCCCACCCCCCGTGGACGTGTTTTTCAACAGAGTGTCGGAATTTCAATGGGAACCAATTGTGCCCCTCTTCTTGCCGACTTGTTTCTTTACTATTATGAGGCTGCCTTCAAAGAGGAACTTCTTAGGAAGAAAGATAAGAAGTTAGCAATATCCTTTAACTTTACGTTCCGCTATTTAGATGATGTTCTCTCACTAAATAAAACAAAATTTGGTGACTATGTTGAACGAATCTATCCCATCGAACTAGAGATAAAGGATACTACAGATACAGTTAAGTCTGTCTCATATCTTTACTTACATCTAGAAACTGACAATGAGGGTCGGTTGAAAACAAAACTTTACGACAAAAGAGATGATTTCAGCTTCCCAATTGTGAACTTTCCATTTCTATGTAGCAACATTCCAGCAGCGCCTGCATACGGAGTATATATCTCCCAATTGATACGATATTCCTGGGCTTGTATTTCCTATCATGATTTCCTTGATAGAGGATTGCTGCTCACAAGGAAGCTATTAAACGAAGAGTTCCAAATGGTGAAGTTGAAATCATCCCTTCGTAAATTTTACGGACGCCATCACGAGTTGGTTGACCGTTATGGAATAACCGTTTCACAGATGATATCGGATATGTTCCTTATGTCGTTACTACAATACCTTTCCCTTTTCACGAATGTGACCTACCGAATTAGACTATTTACCGAATTTATAATAACATAAGCAACACGACGGGTGCCACATGTGGAGCAGGATCTGCTTATTCTTCCGGAGCACCTGAGATCACCCCCAGTTTTTAGTGGTGTTCGTGTTGCTTAGTCTTTAGTTTTCTATGTTGTGTCATCTGTACTATTATTTGTCTGTTCGTTTTTATATTTTTGGCTATGGCGTTGTCAGTTTGTTTTCGATCTATGAGTTTGACTGTCCCTCTGGGATCTTTCGTCCCTCTTTTGAAAGGTACTGGCATTTTAAGATTTTGTATTTCCATGCCGAGTTTGAGATGTCCCGTTATAATGTTTAGTGTATTTTAATACTTTAATGAGTTATTGTTTTGTATGTAGCAGTCCTTTGTGGACAAATTTGACATTTTATTGGTCTGATTTTCCCTTCTTTCAGTAGACAACTTATTGTACATGTTTAAGCATGTAAGGACCAGCAGTTATGCATAAGTTTTGAACTTTTCTACTTGATGTCAACACCCTGACAATATCAAGGTTACGTTGAACAAACACATGAAGTACCCATCGAACCATGAGCACATGAATCTAAATCACAAAGACCATAAACATTATTACATAATACTCCATTCACGTAGTGGCATGTTTGCCGGCAATTGTATCCACATAAAGGTGATTTACAAGTTGAAAGGAAAAAATGGTATCAAATATGGATTAAATTGTTAAATAATTTAAATTTCAAATTTTCAGATAAGAAAAATGCTATCTTTATATACAGTTACATTGATTGATATATATTTGTTAAATGTCAAGCGACAGATATTATATAGAATAAAGACTTTTTAACCAACCAACCCCAACCCCCCCCCCCCCCCCCCCCCCCACCCCCCCCCCCCCCCCACCCCCCTCCTTTTGTTGATTTATGTGTTTACAACTACTTGGGTAGCAAAACTAATTTTTTACAAGTAGTAATTCATGAAGACTTTTTGGCAGTTTCAATTATCCTTGGTTTAAATATAAAGTAAACACTTTTGCTCTTACATAAGCGTGATGATTGTCCTGCAGTTTCTCCAATATTTTCATGCTGTCATTGATAAAAACACTGGATCTAGAGACGACAACACTTAGATGATGACGAATAATACAGCCTTTTATTTGCCTTTATTTGTATGTCATTTTTGTCAATGATTTGTGTGGTTTAATGAAATGCTAAATTGATTTTTTAATTATAAACATAAGATGTGTGATAATTTCTGTTGTCTTGTTAATATATTTTGTTATTGGATTTATATTTAGATATTATGAGACATAACTCAAATGTATTTTTACATGTAATTTGAAAGTTATAGTATTTCATTCCTATTCGTTCCTTGTTTATATCCGGTAATGACACGTAGTAGTGAATATAAGTAGGAATTGAAATATTGGTAAACATACATTGGTTACATTTTGAACCACGATATCCTGCTTTACAAGAACCAACAGTTTGACATATTCCTTCAAGATGATCACACGACTCGTTTATGCAATTGCTGCAGGATAAAGAACAGTTAATCCCGTAGGATCCTGTGTCACATTCTACAAAATACAGAGTGACGTGGAATTCAGATTGTGAATTCAATATTTTAGTATTTTTATTTTTTTATAATAAATAAACATCATTAATCACTCTTTAATATAACTAAAGCACATGAAATATTTCGCTTATTCGGTAAGAATAGAAAATGCATCTATCAATTTCATCAATATTATTCAGTTAAAATTTTAATATATTTGTTTGTACTTATACAGCTGGAGTAACATGCTCTTGAACTATTATTGCATCTTCTATTTACTAGTATTATCTTTTGACATGTCATTATGTTTAACTGGAAATAAAATCAACTTACTAAAATTGCAGCCTTGTCCACGCCATCCTGATTTACATATTCCAAATGGATCACAAGTTCCATTGAAACGGTTACAATTGTCGGTTATGCAATCGGTACATTTTTTAAGACAGTTCTTCCCAAATGTTCTTTTAACACAGCCTAAAAAAAAATTAGCATATATGTTTAAACTAATTTCAGGATGAAATGCTACAAACATTCATACAGAGAAGAACCACATAACGATTTCATTATCATGAATGATATCTAAATTAACTACATTATATATAGCGAACTTAAATTGATTTTTTACAATGTTTTCTCTTTTTTACTACATGAAAATAGTTTCTACTAATATTTTTATTGTACTTACTTTGACTACAACTGTTTGATTTCCATCCAGGATCACATAATTCATGAGGACAATGACCATTTACGTCATCACACGTATTTCCATCCAAACAGTTACATACAAAACTACAATTCTCTCCAAAAGTACCAGCACTACAGCCTGCATAAACAATTTAAGTTTTCTTTTCCCCTCTAATGTTGCTATGCATGCCCACTCAAAGAAATTCTATATCCTAGGCCATATCTGTAAGATGTGATGGTCCCAAATTCCGTTTTCAATAGAAAACATGACATTCTGTATGTGCCATTCCAAGTCAGGATTCTGTAATTGAGTGGTTGTCGTGTTTTGCTGTTTTTCGTTTTTCATATTGCATAGTTTGTTCTTATGTTGTGCCGATTTACCACTGTCCAAGGTGAGGGGAAGGTTGGTCGCATTGAAACATGGGTAATCCCACCACATTCTTTATGAGCCTGTTACTAGTCAGGAGCCTGTAGTTCGATGGCTGCCGTTGGTTCATCTCTGTCATATTTGTTTTTTGTAAATTGTTTTGTTATAATTTAGGATGTTAGTTTTCTAAAATTAATTGTTTTCATATTTTTCATGTCCGGGACTTTTATAATCGATAGTACTGTATGAGGTTTTCTCATTGTTGAAGGCTGTACGGTTGCCTATAATTGCTTACATCCACTTCGTTTGAATTTTGGTGGACATTCTTCTCATTGGCAATCATATCATATCTCCTATTTTTATATAAGTGTCCATATTCGAGTCATGCGAACTAGAAAGGTTTAAAATAAGGAAAACAAGAATGAACTTCTGATCAACATATGTAGGAAATACCTCAGCTTATTATAATAAGGGCTTTATAGTCAGTCAAGGTCGTTAAAAAAACCCATAAACAAGCTTATTATAATGTAAATACTATTGTAACAATGACATGTAGGTTTATTGCCGCTTTCGGTTTGCAGTCATATAATACAGTGATTTTCCATTAACACGTACACTCCAACTAAATAATGTCCAGAATATTTCCTGACATTAATTTATGAATATCTTCATTGTAATGTTTTCTTATATTAAAAACTCACATTAATGAGGATCTCTTATTAAAATAAGGACAATGGCTTTTCGTAAAAGTTCATAACTGGTAGAGGCAAACTAAAGTTTCAGGACATACTTACAGACGGACAGATGTACTAGATGACTAAATTGCTAATTCTCATTAATTGAAATGTTTTGAAACCACACGTTTAAAGTTGATGGTATTCAAATATCTACGGTGCTCTTATTTTCAATATTTTCCAAGAAAATGCATTGAAAATATGTGACGCTACTTTGACAAAGAATTCTTACAATCACATATTTAACATTTAGAGGAATTCTTTTTACGTAAGTATATTATTATTTAAAGGGAAAATATCAATACATCTAGAGGTCAACATACTGTTTGAAACAATGGACACGGTTCATTACAATATGTCACACCCTAAACTTCCCCGAACTGAGAAAATTTGTGAATGTATTTGACAGCGATTATCACAGATTTTCAATCAAAACTCATATCCATAAATGATCAACAAAAGTACCTTCTGACAACCACTATCGAGGTTCCTGCATATAAAGCTTTTCATTTAAAAATTAGAATTCCAAAGACAAGAATTTGTATGACTTTGTAACAGATTGTGTTAAAAAAATTTCAGCTCTGCAACATTTTTATTAAGTTTTAGACTTCCAAAGATTTTGAGCTCATGCATCACTGAAGAGACATTAATTGTCGCAATGGGCATCTGGTGCAGTAAAAATTTGCACCGTTAATGTTATTTCACTGAAATTGTTTTTTGTTTCCTAATGGCTTTAGAGGTAGCTTGCCCTTCGTTATACAAATTTCGCGTTTTCTGTCCACGTTGATGATCATGTCCTGACCGATGAGTTATTCTAATTTACATAAAAATTACTTTTAAATAAATGCAACGTCTTTTCTTTCAAAATTTCAAAAAGAAAGATACACTTTGCGCTACTTTCAATTCGAAGACGGCTTTAAGCAGTGTATTACCTTACGTCATGACATCTCATTTATTACATGGAAAGTGCGGCATAATAGAAAGTATAAAATTTCTGCTGAACGTGCTGTGTGTTTGATCGTCATGGTATGTAGTGTAAACCTGTATGTTCCCCATGAATTGAACTGATCAAAGTATATCAAACATACGGATTTGACAGCTGGAACCTTTCCATCCAGCAGAACATCCATGTGTACATCTACCGCAGAACTGGTTGCAATCTTTGTTTTTACAGTGGTTGCAAGTATTCACACAGTTTGGCCCATAAGTACCAACTTCACATCCTAAAATATATAAATTGCCTCCGAAAATGTAATCGTTATCTATATGTATATATATTTACTAGTACTGTTGACAAGAATTGTTCAGATGACAATATATAAAAGTTGTTTTTGTCTGGAATCATTTCTCTTCATGCTTCATATTGTAATGCCGATTCAAAATTCGATATGATGAAGCCAACTCAAATCATAGCTTAATTCGGCATGGTATATAACTTATGTTCAACTTTTCATGAAAGTGGTTAATATTGTGAAAAGCTTAGTTAAAAACCTTACGAATAAGAAATTGTTTAGAAGTACATTCTGTTAGAATGCTCTATAGGCAAAAAAAGTAGAGAAATGAAACAAACTTGTTTTGTCTTTGATGGATTGATAGCTGATAAAGAATGAAACCAACATCTACGTTTTTTTCTCATAATTAATTATCATTTGAATGTAAAGAACGATTGAACACTAGACTTTAGTTTTCTGGAAGGATTTAAATTCAAAATTTAAAAAAGAGATTTTCTAACATTAAAGTGTTTGATTTTAGATAATATACAAAACGGAGACTTCCGTGATACAGATAAATATTGGTGGCATTTTTAACGTAAGAGCTATAATTTAAATAAGCAAAAATAATGATGATATGTTGCTGTTAGTGGTACGAATTAGCGGATCTTTTTGGGGTATCTCCTTATTGTTTCTAAATATATTTTAACAAATGCTTTCTTATGCTATGGTTCACTCGTTGTTAACCTCCCTTATTGTGTCTACCAGATCAATATTGCAGATTAGTTTCTATTATAACCAAAAAAAAAGGAAAAATAACTAAAAATAGTCATTAAGGAGCAATCATTTCTTTACAAGTCAATTGATAATTTCGCTTTTACTGACTTATTTGAAGATGTTGTTTTGATGGAAAGTTTTGCTGTTCATAGTTTCTCGTTTTAAATGGTAGTTTCAAGATCGTAGCAACAAAAGGCAAAAAATGGTGAATAAAATGTGAGAATAAAACTATATAAATTTGATTCATCCAAATGTCCATACCATTAAGGACAATAACGTCTATGTCGAGGTTATCGACAAATTTCGATCACCTTGACTTTGTGTACATCCTATCTTGATGCTAGATTGTATTTTAAATTTTTTTCTCTATGTATTATAGCAACAACACAAAAAGGTGAAAGTCGGCATTCAAATGACTAACAAGTCGACTGCCACTAATGGAGCAGAAATTGATTACCTTTTGGAGCACATGAGTTCACCCACGGTTTTATTGGGTCTTATTTCGCTCAATATTTAGTTTGCTGTAATTTTGGTCTTCTTGTTTTGTTTTTTCGTTGTTTCCTTTTTGGTCGTCTGATTTATTGAGACTAGCGATATTTTATTTGCAGTTTGGTATCTTCTCTCTCCTTTCCATGCCAATAACTCCTTTTATATTGTCAATTGAAAATTGCTATTATGTTGACCTTTTTGTAGATCTCATTTTGTTGAGTTTTTTTTATCTCTATGAAGTTTCTCTCTTTTTTTCATAATTTTTCAGACAATTGCAAAAAAATACAAACAGTACAAGTTATCTTTAAAGGACAGTTACTTCTATAAGGAGTACATCGATAATATAATTTATCATTGGACTTATGTAAACACTACCAAGAATTATATCACAAGTTTATTGTAATTTTGTCTACCCTGTTGTAAATTAAATCAATACTGAACGGCTACATGATAAAATTGTAATGTTCTACTTTTGGTAAATTCAGTACTGATTTTAAGAAAAAATAGTACTGTCACAGTACAGCAAAAATCAGTACTGTTACAGTACTAAAAAAAATCAGTACTGTTATAGTAATGATAGACGGAAACTTCGTAACATAACCAAAAACGCATCTGACTACTATTATTTGTTAACACGTGATTTCCTATTGTAGCAGTTGTTAGCATTATTTTTTACGTCAGGACAAACAAACTTTCATGTTTAAATAATTGAAAGCAACATTAAGTAATATGGACAATGTAAGATAGGATGCATATATGTGTTCTATCGCCTTTATCTTCAATTTAGTCATATTTTTACACGATGCCATCAGATATATTCATATTCAATATGACGAATATTTAAACCACACAAAAAGTTTTATAGAATTCATTACGTAATCGACTCTTTAAGGTAACTATAAGTTTTTGTTTGATTTAGTTACTGCACATCCTTTCTTGAAATACATAAAGGGTTGTGTTTCTGTCGTATCTTGCTTGTTTGTGTCTTACAAGCTACGTGTTTTGACCTACATACATGACAAGAAGTTACTACGGAAAAAATAACTACATTTGTTAATCCATCTTATATTATGCCCTCATTACGCAAATATATTTATATAGGACAGCATTAGAGCTGTGTTTTAAATACATACATATGGTTGCTGTCAATGTTTCAAACAGCTTGAGTTCGAATTCCGCAAAGGTAATGATATAGATTTGCAGGTGATTCATTTGTAATATAAGTATATTTACCTTGATCACAATGGTTCCCCTTGAAGCCTGCTTTACAAGATGTACATGATCCACCCCAAATACTGCATGTACCATCATTGCAATTGAGCGAACAGTTAGACTGGCACTGTGATCCATATCGTCCTAAGTAACAACCTTGTTAAAAATCAACAAAATGTTGTTATTCAATGATGTGTGTTCATTATATTCTATTTTTGTTGTTGTTTATTACATTAAGATGGGTTTTTTTTCTCTGTTTGTTCATATAAGAGGATATTTTCATGTCTTCAGTGAAAATTTGTTCCCTGTTTCTTGAATGAATGTCGTTTTCAAAAATAAGTCTTTCAAATTTTTCGGTATTATGAGCTTTTGTACTATCAGTTTACATTTTATTAAATGTTCGTTGAATTAAATGTGTATTAAGCTATACATATAGTTATCTGCCTTTGCCTACTTTTCATGATTGCTCAGTCTTCTTACTTTACGTATGTACAAGTCTTTTATTATAACATGTACTGAATCATGGCTAGGAACGACATGCTAAAAAAAATTATTGTCACAACCTCCTAATAACACCTATCGTTCTCAAAAGAACAAAAGTAAAGCAAAATATTTATTCCTCCCACTGGGGAGTCTTCCTATATAAGGGTATACACATACGTGCCGCTGGTATGGGTTACTTTTTGGAATGTTAGATATATCAATGGGGTGCTATTTCACGGTGGGTATATATCAATGGGTAGGAATTTACATGTCAATTGGTCATAAATGTTCATCTTCTCTTAATATGTATGTAAAAACTGTGTTCTGATCTTTTTATCTAATAATATGAATGATTCCACGTGGTTAATGTCTAAATAAGATGTCATAATAGCTGGGAAATATATATAAATGGGTTGTGATTTTTCTATGAAATATATGAATGGGTGGGGATTTTCGCGAAAATCAATATATGAATATATGAATGCACATTTTTAAATATGATATAATAGCCTTCCTAAATTAATTATATGAGTTATGAATAATTGAATCTGTTATAATATTATTATAAACATTGCATACTGCTTTTATTTTAATAAGACATTGTCGATCATTAGAGGGAGTGCTTGGATTTGTTTTTTATATAAACAATGCTATTATATCTGTTCATGTTTGACCACATATTCTATACCCTTTATTCCGTCAGGAACAAATACTATAATATGTCTTCCAGTGTAAACAATATTCCAGATTACTTTTTGTCCATTTGGAACTTATATTATATAGAAAATTCTATTTCATGACATGTTCACGTTTCTCCAACATTTGATATTTTCGTATTCAATTAAATTTTTTTCATATTGGAGAAACCTTATTATTATGTAATATTGATTAGTGATTTTACCTGTAATTAGATATACAGTGAATCCAATATAAATTAGTTCCTTCATAAATCGTAAATCAACAAATGATCTGACAGATGAAAAAAAGTCAAAATTTTAAGAAAAAAAATCTCATCAAAATGTATTAACATAATGTACGTCAACTATGGTATACATAATATCAGAAGGAGTCTATTAGAAGAAAAAACGCTAGAAAGCACTAGTGGACAAAATGCACTATCAAATCATAAAATGAAGCAGAAACATTATTCATAAAACTACAAATAATATTCTGAACACATAAACATGCACAGGAGTAATTCTTGGGTAGAATCTGTTTTGGCGGACCCCGGAAGTTGGAAGATGCACAATTTATGCGCATGACCGATAACCCCAATTTACGTTGCTATGCTAGAATATAAACAACGGCCATTTTTGTTAACGCTTCAAAAGACGAAGATGCAAATGATTTTTTAAGATTGCTGCTTTTAACTAGTGTAACTGAACAATTTAAAATAAATCTAAAGCACTTACCCATTTAAGCTTGAAAATCATCCAGACTAGAATTTAATGTGTTTGTTATTTCGTGTAGTACTCTGGGTTTTTTTAGTTGCAGGTTGCGGTTCACTGATGGTGATAATTTCTGTCGTAATCAATGTTTGTTTTTGTTTTTCTGGATTATACACTTTTTTAATGAGGGTTATAAATGCTATGAAAGGGTCTTCAGAGCCGATTATATGTTTCTTTCGTACACAACATTGACTGAAATAAGTATCATAAAGTGATTTTACCGTGCTGTATTTTGGTAGTGATTTTTTAAGTGCACGCCAGGTACTTTCAATGGTGTTTGTATGCGCTCCTGTTTCTGGGTCTACAAAATTTACGGAATGATTGACTTTCAAATGCTCAAATCCCTCTGAACCTAGACAATCATATGCTTTCCAACAGTCACTAATTATTGTTGTTTCTGGTTTTATATTGTCTTTTATTAATTTTAGTTATGTTTCTTTTGTTCGACTTTCCACTGTTGCAAAAAAACTTTTTTTGCTGTCTCTTTCAATACCTCCAAACACCCACTGACCTCCTACTTGACGCCCTTTGTGGTATTTACTTTTCCCAAATTTACTTTCATCTATTTCAACAATTACGCTATCTCCTCCTATTTTTTCACTGTCAATTTTCAAAATTTCTATACAGACTTCACGGCAATAATTGTACCAATCTACAATTGTTTGGTTACAAATGGAAAGTTCATGCTTTACAAATTCTTGGTCTATTTTGTAAATCCAGAAATACGTAATAAATAATATTTTTTCCAAACTTAAATTATGTCATTGAAACGAGGATCCGTTTCTGATAGAAGCTTTTTTACTGCATTTTTTGTTGCTGCACTTCCAATAAAAAATTTCGTTTGAAAAAGAACTGTCTTTTCTTAATCCAAAACGTCCATGGCTACACTTTTTACATACCTCTCCAGTTAAATCTAGAATTAATCCTATAGAAATACACCACTGAATAATTTTCTCAATACTTCCACAAATAATAAACAAATCTTTTAACTTGATCGGCATTTCCGTATTTACATTGTAAACAAACACAGCTGATTTTACGTTACGGTTGACAATGACGTAACTTATTTCATGAATATTCATGACGTAGAGGTCACCGATAATGAAATTTTTATGACGTGATATACCTACCTGAGTAACGGAAGCGTGGACATTTTGTACACTTACCAAGACGTCTTTCTGTTAGATATTGTAATTCTAATTTAAAAAACTGTTTAAAACAACAGTTTTTTAAACAAAATTTCACCTGGGGAATTCGATTTTGACCTTATTTTGATGATTTTTGGGCTATTTTCGTTTTTAACTTTTTGGCGCGACCAATCCCTATTTACTAGTATTTACTATAGTTTCCCGTACTTTTTATGGGGTCCGCTAAAGTAGAAGTACTCCTTATTCTTTAAATAAGGGTATAGTTATCATATAATCTAGCAAATGATGGACGTTAATCACCGGCTTTTGGTGGGGTCCGTGTTGCTCAGTTTTCACTGAAGTGTTTTGTGGAATTGTTCGTCTCTTCTAACTTTCGTTTTTTGCCATGGCGTTGTCAGTTTTATTCGATTAACGAATTGTTAATGTTCCTTTGTAATCTCCAGTCTGTTTTTTTTTAACATTCAAAATCAAGTAATGAAATTCACAAATACTTTTAAACACTGTTAGATAATATAAAGAACAACAGGCCCCAAAGATCCCGAATCGCTCACCTGGTAACAATATGCCATCTTGGTATTTTTTTTTACCCTAGTGTAATCAGTTTTGTTGGTTTTTTTGCTAATATTTTTGTAGAATTTGTATTGATTGTATTTTTTCTATTGTTAACAGTAATATCTACGTATTAAAGTTAAAGAAAATTGGTAAACTTATATAAATAAGTGAAAGATCGTCATTAAGGGCAAAAAGTAATATCACACAAATAATGAACTCCGAGGAAAATTCAAAAAGGAAAGTCCTTGATGAAATGTCAAAATCAAAAGCTCAAACACATCAAACGAATGGATAACAACTGTCATATTCCTGTAGGAAATGGTGGATTGAATATTGATTATACATTCTATAAGGAATCTGACAATTTGGTCATGTTAACTTATTCATAAATCTTGTTTGGCTTTTAACGTTTCTCTCTAGCTACTATACTTTTTAACAAAAATTCAAAAATTGGGTGAAAATCATCATGCAGGGAATACAACTCCCATAAGGAATCGGTTGACAATTTCAGACATGTTGAATTATTTGTAGTTCTTATTTGTAGTTCTTATTGTTTTTAATATTTTTGCTATTGTCTGTTACTGTCTACCTATTATAGTTTCTGCCAAAAAAAAGTAAGAATAATTTTTCAAGGGGAATAAATCCTGTAAAGGTCAATTGACGATTTCGAACATGTTGACTTATTTGTGGTTCTTATTTTCAGAAAAAAGTTTTGCTGTATCTTTTTGCTCTCTATTCATTATAGTTTGCATAAAATCAAATAAAATGAGGAAAAATATTTCTTCAATATACCATTTGGCAATGTTGAACTAATTGTAAATCATTTCGAGCTGAACATCTTTATAATAACAATTTCTCTCTATTTATTATGGTTTCTGTATAAAATGAGTAAAAAACTTTTCAAGGATAATAACTCATATAAATGGGTCAATGAAGGATTTCGGCCATGTTGACTTAATTGTAGATCCTACTTTGATTAACAATTTTGCTATTACAGTCTTCCCCTATCTAATAATTATCATTTCTGCAAACATGGACAAAAATCATCTTCCGGGAAAAAAACTCCTATGAGGGTTCAATTGACGATTTTGCCATCTTGGCTTAGGCGTATTTGCAGATTTTGTTTGCTGATTATTCTTGCTTTTACTATTTTTCTCTATCGATTATAGTAAAAATGCAAAATAGGTAAAAATCGTCTTTCAAGGACAATAAATCCTAAAAGGGGTTGATTGTCCGTTCATGTTGACTTATTTTTAAATCTTATTGTTCAAGTCAAATTTAATTTTTAAAAAAAACTCTCTATCTATCATAGTATGTTTTCAAGATGATAATGTAAAACTTTGCAAAAAAGTTAACATTTCAGAGGCCTTTACTCCAAAATGGATTGTCCTATTTATCTGAAAATGTTATTGGAGATACACCTTGACCTGCTGATATTTTTTACTTAGTCAGTTTTCAACGCCCATATTTTTTGATCTATCAAATTTGCGGATACAATTTTTGAACTAGATTTCCTAACTTAAAAGAAACATTCAGGTAAAGTTTGGTAACATTTACCATATAGTAGATTTAGATAAAAAAAAAAGTTTACAACGAATGATGAAAGACGGACGACGACGGACCACCAAGTTAGGCCAGGTGAAACAAAAAATATGTGCATATCACTAAACCACATGAATATTCATAGAAATATACGTGTAATAAGAGAATACAAGAATTTGAACAAAAAAATAACTACACAGTGATTCAAAATATTTCGCTAACGTTTAATAATATACACTAGACACTACTGTCGACTTAGTAGTTATCGGGTGAGAGTTCCGTTGTCGAAGTGATTCCATTGCTGATTGTTTCTTCCTTCTACCTAGTACTGGGTGACAAAGTCGGGAGAAGTTATCGTTTCAATATCAAAATTTACAGCGTCTTCACGTGAAGTATATCATACGCCTTTAACTAGCTTTAGTGGGCAAGGGATAGAACTGCTTCACGTCCTACCAGTGCGGTCGTCTGTGTCTTTGATAGCAGTAGCAAGTCACAGTTTCGGTGTCTTTTTCCAGATGCATTAAGAATAGTGGAAATAAAACAGCTTCTCATAGAGGCATTATCAAATGCAGGTTTGTCGGAATAGGACTTTGGGAAAGCTATTTAAAAGTTAGTGAACAATATCTGCGGTGTTAGTTGGATTTGTTGTTGTTCGAAAGGAGTCTGCTGCAACTGCTCATTAAATTATGATTTTGTCAAGTACAAGATTACCATGAATATATTATAATCAATCACTCAATTTGAATTGATAAAATATTCATTCTAGTGTTATAAATGATATGAATAATCTATACTATTCTATTTTTCAAATAATTCAATATATCTCCAAAACTTTTAATAATTGTAAAAATGGTAAGAAAAAAAATTAAAATTATAGCATTTTTAAAACATATAATATTGTCTTCCCACCGTATTCATATATTAGTGGAAAGCAAACTGACAATGCCATGGCAACAAAAAAAAATCGAAAAACGATCAAAATACAAACAACAGTATATAAAACACAACATAGAAAACTGAAGACTGAGCAACATAAAAAAAAGACGGACATTTTGAAAAGATTGAAATTTTTATACTTGATATCGATAAATTTTTTTTTTATTTTTGTCGAATTTATTCATCATTTGAAGTTTATTATGAAAATAATATTATGCATCATATACAGGTTGGGTTATACCTTCCCTTTACACCCATTTGTATTCTATTTTCATTGTGCGACATTTGTTAGATTAACGTTATTTTTTTTAAATATTGAACACCTGTGAAAAAACCCTTGGTAGTCATTAATAACCACACTAGTTAGAACACAAATAATAAAATAGAAGCATTGAAGAACATTTAAAAAATGTCGACGTGCTTACCAAAGACTTCTACTTCACAAAGATCTACGAACGTTTCTGTCCCGTCCCTTTCATTGTAGTACACTACATATCTACCAGTCAAGTCACAAGTTTTATTCTGTATTGTGTTTGGCAATTGACCACTCATTGGGTAGTGATAGCATTCATGTCCTGAATTTGGATTCCTTTCACTGAATGAGTCCGATACGTATAGATAATATCCTTTGATCCTAGGACTTTCTGAAATATATAAATTACATAATCTCTGTTATGGAAATAAGTTACTTGGCATAATCTTTTTGAGTAAAAAAAATAATTTTAGGTTTCCATTAATTCCATAAAACATTTATAATCTTAGATTGAATTTGTCTGTCCAATAATGTATGCATAGTATGAGACGCATACTCTCTCAACGCACACAGTTTCGCTCCTTTTGGAGTTCATGCGATTCCCTCGTGTTTTGTTTGTTTCTTTGATTTGTCTTCTTAATCGATTTATGAGATTTGAACATCATATAACATTTTTGGAAGCGCTTAATCCTCCTAACCTGGAACAGTGTGTAACAGCACAACATAAGAACAGACAGTTCAGATCAGGTCAGCAAAAAGCATAAGAAATGATAACAACAGGACAAAAACACAACATACCTATCGCAGTACTCACAGTTATTGAAAGTTATTTCGAAGTCAATTGCGACTCAGAAACAGATCATGTTTTCTCGGACTAAAGTATCAATCAGTACACACCCAAATAATTTAGCATGCTAATCAGTCTGAGAAAAACATGACATTGTTAATAACATAAACGGTACCAATTTTTCTGCACCAGATGCGCATTTCGACAATCAATGTCTCTTCAGTGATATTCGATGCCAAAATATTTGAAAATTTAAAGCTTAGTAAAAAGACGTAGAGTAATCCGATAAATTAAAAGTATTACCGACTTGAAAAAAAATCATAACAAGTCAAACATGTTTAAAAGTTATGTTTTAATCTATTATCAATGTTAGTACCGATAAATCAAATATTCAAGGATTTAACTATACTGTTGAAGTTATAACCTTTAACTATAATTATAATTATATAAAAAGGATATAAAGAAGATTAGATCAAAGGTATCTAAAATGTAGGACTCTGTAAAATTTAGAATGTGATATCCCGTTTTTTAAGGTTTATACAGGTACAGCAAAGCCAAAGTTATTAGCCAAATCTTTGTATCTATGAAAGAATTTAGTAAAGGTTGTAAGCCATTTCAGTTTTATGAAAAAACAAAACCCCTGACTTAATAGTTTACCAGTAATATATAGATAACGTTCATTAAATTCTTAATTATTACAAACGAGTATGTAAACGAACGAGTTAGGAAATATACACAATAGGGAATGAAACATTTTTTCTTTTGTCGTAAATATTTGTATAGAGATTCCCAAGTGAAACTGTAATATCCAAATTTAGAAAAGGACAATTAGTGATGTTTATCTTTGATTTATTTTAAATCAGTTCCCTATAGGTATGATTAGAAAATTCTTGATTTTTTAAGCAAAATTATCACAAGGTTTCGGTAACTGTTTGATCTAATCGAATTTAGACGGATCTTTATTGAGTTTGTATATCAACTGTAATTCATAACAATACAGGAACTAGTTATCTATAATAGTGGCGGAATAAGTGTCCATTGGCAAAAACACAACCTGTCGGTAAACTGTTTTGCCGAGACGTACATGTTGGCAAGTAGAAATTATCAAGCTCTAATCATATCATCTCAGTTCAAGTAAGTATATCTTGCATATTTAACTTTCCATTACACAAGAAGGCTTTATATGAATTGCAGCAAATAAACTTGTGATAAGTTTTTTTTTCTCCAAAAAACATTTAATTATATAAGTAAAAGAGGCAACGACTGCCAAGGGGACATTCAAAAATCTTAAGTCGAAAAAATCTTACAATGCCTTGGCAAAGAACAAAAGACGACGAAAAGACGGACAAGTGTCAAAAACACTACATAGAAAATTAAAGACTGAGAAACCCAAGCCCCACAAAAAAACTGAGGGTGATCACGTTCTCTGAAATGATAAGCAGATCCATCTCCACTAGTGGCTTCGGTCATGATAATTGCAAATTCGGTTATATGTCTCAGTCGTAAAAAAGAGGTCAAGATTGTTTCGACAGTCATCTGTGACACAGATATTCCATAACGGTCAACCTACTCTTGATATAGTCTGTAAAATTTTTGAAGGGATGACTTTAACTTTATCACTTGGAACCCTTGGTTCAACCTTGTAAGCAGCAAACACTATCAAAAATATCATGATAGGAAACGCAAGATCTGTTGTATTATATCAACTGGAATATATATATATATACTCCATATACAGGCGCTGCTGGAATGTTGCTACATAGACATTGCAACTTCTTAACAGAAACTCTGAAAAACTTCCTTTTGTCGTAAATTTTTGTACTGAACCGACCCTCATTGTCAATTGCTAGATTTGAAGCAAAATATGAGGCAGCCTATAGTGTATATGTGGTATTCTGTATTTCAAGTGCGAGGGGATAGATGCACACAACATAGTCCCCCAACTTTTAATTATTTAGTGAACCCAAATCATTTTATAGTGGAAGGTAGAGATAAAGGATAAGACCAACTTCTCTTCATTCTTCCTTCGATGGTCCTGTATGAATTCTGCCTCATATGAATTAAGGAACAAGCCGGCAAAAAAAAAGTACAGTTTATTCCCATAGGAATGCCGATTGTTTGTGCATAGCATGCCTCCAAACTTAATCGATTGCTCAACATCCCAAATGCTCCTCAAATTGAGATATTCAAATACAATTATTGGACATGTTGCTATTTTGAACAAGTGACTGAGCTTAACCATGTGTGCTGATTTGAAACAATAATATATATAATGTGCTTAAAACCTGTAAAAAATGGCAAATAACTATCAAGTCAAGATGTTATTCAGCACTACAATGTTGCAGATGACTGTCATCTAAAATTTTAATTTTACACGTTTTTGTCGATTTTTTCATCGAAGGACATATTTCACAATTATACACAAAATAATTGGTTTATATCTGTAAGACAATTATGTTAAAGCCCCCTTAATCTGCTGTCCAATTTGTTTGTTATATTTACAGGAAATTGATAAAAGTATATAATACCTGAAGTCTTATTTTTATATTTTTTAAGCAATAGTTTCCTTGCGGAGAACCTGCTTCACATTTGTTTTTTTTATCACCAGACTTGTCACTGAATATACAACTATATATAAGGATCAGCTCAATATCTTCAAGAAAAGTATCCAGATAACTGATATAAAGTTAGGTTCATTTGTAGATAGAAGGTTGGAATGATGGACGGATGTATTTAAACTAATACGAAATCTTTATAACAATTACATAACGTATTCTATGAAAATTCACTCTGATTCAAACAAAAACTTCTTTGAAACTGACATTATGAAGATACTTGATTTCTTGATTGACAACATATTTGTTACGTTCCGAATGTGTGTTTTTCAACAAACAATCGGCATTCCCATGGAAAAAAATGGTGCTGCTCTTCTTTCCGACTTGTTCCTTTATTCTTATGAAGCTGACTTCATATAGGAACTTCTTGGGAAGAAAGAAAAGACTTTACTTTACGCTATAAAGATAATGTTCTAACACCAGATAATTCAAAATTTGGTGACTCTCTTGAACGCATTCATCCCATCGAACTTGAGATAAAGGATACAACAGATACAGTTAAGTCTGCCTTATTTCTTGACTTACATCTTAACAATGATGGTCGGTTAAAAACAAAACATTACGACAAAAGAGATGATTCCAGCTTTACAATTGTGAACTTTCCATTTCTATGTAGTAACATTCCAGCAGCGCCTGCATACAGAGTATATATCTCCCAGTTTATACGATATTCTAGGGCTTGTATTTCCTATCATGATTTCCTTCGTCCCTTCGTAAAATTTTACGGACGCCATCACGAGTTGGTTGACCGTTATGGAATATCCGTTTTACAAATGACAACGGATATGTTCCAATTGTTGCAACTACAATCCCATCCCCTTTTCCCAGAATGTGACCTACCGAATTAGACTTATAACCGGGTTTGTACTAACATGAGCAACACGACGGCGCCACATGTGGAGCAGAATCTGCTTACCCTTTAGGGGCACATGAGATCCCCCCAGTTTTTGGTGGGGTTCGTGTTGCTCAGTCTTTAGTTTTTCTATGTTGTGTTTTGTGTTCTGTTGTTTGTTTGTCTGTTTGTCTGTTTGTCTGGTTTTTTTTTAGCCATGTCGTTGTCCGTTTTTTTTTCGACTTAGGAGTTTGAATGTTTCTTTGGTATCCTTCGCCTCTCTTTTTATTCCGCTTTATTTTTGTTTGTGACGAAAGTCTATGGTGGTTCAATGCCATTGGATCGAATTATTTGATAATTCAACACCGACTAGTTGCAATTCAACAATATTAGTCCGTCTGTCCGTCCTTCATAAGTTTTATGACGTATAAAAATTAAGATTGTCTCATCTAATTTCCATTAATTTGTATGCACAGTCATATCTATAAAACTAAGATCATATTTGATTTTTGTAAAAATTGGAAAAAAAAACATTGTTGAAAAAAAGCAGGAAAACAAATTTCATATTCCTGACTTGGCACTGACATTTTCCTAAGAAAACGGTGGGTTAACCCTGATTTTCTACCTAGTTAAAATGCTCACTTGTATAAAAACTGTTTAATGTTTCGTAATATTGCCAAATTAGGTGAACAACCCAAACAAACATTTTAGAATTCATTCATACATTTTTGTATTATTTAAAATTATCAGTCAATAGGTGTTCTACAAGGATCCCCAGTCCTTCATCTTTCATTTGATACCTTAATTACTGAAATATATTCTACATAGTTTTATATTTACACCTATGCGTAGGAACTATTTTGTTCTTTTTTGACCGGACCCGATTTGGTGGTGTTACATCTTACAAAGTCTATCCGAATATTTTGCAAAGAATTCAGCTCAAATCGGTGCTAGGGGCCGTCTTAAATTTGCACTGAGGTGAGAGGTTTTCTTGCTCCGTGTTGAAGGCCTCATTGTGATTTTGAGATGAAGAATTGCAATAAATGCGCTGTTCCTTTGCTTTTTGTGTATGTTTTTGCTGTGCATGTACTGATTTTTTGTCATGGATGGATACCCTATATCCCTTGTTTTTTTATATATATATAATTGGTTAACGT